AAGAGAGCTTCGTTGTGATAGATATGTATTTATTTACTTAGATCAAGGCCAACCCATCTGCATTAATCCTTCTGAACCCCTTCCCGCCTGTCCCCCTCCTTTTGGATTGATTTTGGTGGGTTTCTTTATGTGCTTCCTTCACAATTGATTCATATGAACTATAGGATGTAAAATAAAAATCATCGCTCTGAACCATTTAGTCGCTGAAATTACAGAGTGTCCCAAAACACAGTTCTGGGTGTGCGAGAAGGGGTCTGAAGGTTGCAACTCTGGGTATGAGTGATGGTAAAACATCAAAACACGAGGAAAAACACGACTAAAAATTAAACTTCCTCATGTAAATTCCATCTATCAAGGCATGTGCTCTGAACAGTGGGAAGGATGCGTGGATGACATTTTGTACGAGACCTACTTCAATGAGAGATGATTCCCAAAAGGGAAGTCACTAATACTTGATTTGGGATTTCAGGCCAATACATCTAAGGCAGTGTTTTTAGACTTGAGCCATTTGATCTCCTGTGTGAGAAATCACCACAGCATCAGATTGATAACTCTGCAGTTTCTAGGCTCTCTTGAATGATGAAATGTGCACATAGTTTTTATTTTCCTAGAATAAACTAGAAGAGGTAATATAATAGAATGACCTCAGTTCCTAAAGCAGGGAACCAAAGACAAGATAACTTATATTTTAAGTGTCCACTGTGAGTCATGGGGTAGGGTATACTTTTTTTTTTTAGTGACTCATGTTTACTTCTTTATTCTTTCCTATGTTTCCAAAAACTCCTGCCACAGAGACTTTTTTTTTTGCTTCAATACCAAGGTTTGAACTCAATGCTTCACACTTGCTAGGTTGGCACTCTACCACTTGAGCCATATCTCCAGCTTGGCATTTTGCTGGCTGTCTTTGGAGTTGGAGTTTCAAAGACTTTTCTACCTGGGTTGGTCTGGAATCCATGATCCTGTGGCTAGCAGCCTCCTGAGCAGATATATGAATAGTCTCCAATTCCTGGCTATCAATCCGTATTGTGTCTAATCCAAATTCAATGTTTTGTTTCTTATCCAAGGGAAATACTGCCTTAGCTGCGGTAGGTTTTGAACTTCTTTGCCTACACACAAGCGAGGGTGTGAGGGCAAACTGTTTGTAATATTTCATGAGTGCTCCAGAGAGCACATGCTAGCAACCTAATCAAGAAGGCCAGATGGCAATACTTAATCCCAGCCTGACCTACAGACAAGCAGAGAGGCACAGAAGCAGAGGACTGGCTAGGCGCTGGCTAGGGAGAGGCTGAGATTCACAGGAAGGCCAGCCGAGTGGCTTCAACCCTGACCTCCTATAAGAAGGATGGGCAGGAAGGACAGCAGAAGACAGGAAGTGGGAGGAAGCATTCAGGAAAAGGTGGAGAAGAGACAAAGGAACAGTGAGGCCGACCTCAGGCCTAGCAGGCGCGCTGCTGTAGCTAGACTGCATTCTGGGCATCTAAGGAATCATCCCACGGTTCTCTGCCCTTGGTGTGCCCTGAAAAGGACTCCTGGGATTCAGCATCTTCCCATTAGAATCGTCCCTTGGGAGCTGGTGCTGTGTGTCCAGAGGCTGGCGAGCTGCTGACCACGGAGTGACCACTTCTCAAACCGGGTCCCAAGGATGGCCAGCCACGTCCCCAAGTTCCAGCTGGGAAGTGCCGCCCACTCAGCACTGCCCAGGGAGAACCCAGACCTCAAGAAGCACATGGGTTCCTGGCTTGGGGTACAACCTGCCCCACCCCACCAAGAATGCCACCCAGGAGCCAGGACGCCACGCCCGGCCTGCACTGGCTGGCCATCAAGGAAACTAAAGCTGGGTCCTGTGGACCTGCCCACCCGAGTTCACCAAGCGACACTAAGCCCAGGTGTTGGAACCTTCACGTCATTGCCTTTCCATGCCCTGGGAGCAAGAAATAGAGGTGAGGCCAGACACCTGGCTTGGCCAGGCCTTCGCAAGTCATTAGAGAAGCTGTGTCTTCTATCTTCAGCCGGAAGGAATCCTAACACCTGGCCTTGGGAGCTGTCTGGGGGCCAGCATGGGCCTTCTTCATACCTAGGCTTCCCTCTGGGTTGGAAATGGCCAGATCTCTGGTGGAATGGCCACCTGGGAACCAGGCATTGTAGGGTGCTAAGCAGCACCCCAAACCTCCAGCCACCAGTCAGCCACAGCAGCAGGAGAGCTTCAGGTTCCAGCTGTGATGACTTGGGGATGTTTCAGGACATCTGTCCCCTGGGAGGCTGGGAAGCAAAATGACTCCCACCGGAAGAGCACTGAATTACAGAGAACACAACTCCGATTCCGAATGACACAGGGGGAACTACTAGAACCACCTCAGCTTTGTTTAAGGGAGGCGATGGACTGGGCTCCCCTAGCGACAATGCTTCTGTTTTGTGGATCCTCTTCCTTCCAGCGCAGGGCAAATCAGAGCCATTTTTTTCCCTTGGGCCTCAAGCCCAAAGGTCTTACCACTGAGGTGCGCAGGTGGTGTGTTTGGCTTTGTTTTGTTGATTCCCTTCGTGGCATATGCAGAATGTTGGTGTGTTGGCATTCATAACCTCATGCAAAATCCAGGGCTGTTTTTGTTTTGTTTGTGTCAACCATTTGTGAAGGTGCCTGAAGAGCTAGGGAATTCCCTGGCATCTTGGTGTCTGGTATCCTAACTTAACTCGCAGGTTTGATTGTCGAATTTTCCTAAGCTCAAGGTCAAAATTAGGATGCCTCAAATTTTGGTTGTATTGCTGGGGGGGGTGGGGGGAAAGCAGTTTAAATATAAAAGAATGTGTTGCAATGTATAAGAAAGAAAGAACGAGAGAAAGAATGAAGACAGGAAGGAAGGAAGGAAGGAAGGAAGGAAAGAAAGAAAGAAAGGAAGGAAAAGAAAGAAAGAAAGAGAGGGAGGAAAGAAAGAGAAAGAAAGAAAGAAAGAAAGAGAGAGGGAGGGAGGGAGGGAGAAAGGGAGGGAGGGAGCAAGAAAGGAAGGAAAGAAAGGAGGAGGGAGGGAGGAAGGAAGGAAGGAAGGAAGGGAGGGAGGAACGGAGGGGTTAGCTGCTGGGGAAGGTGGTTGATACCTTCTAGATACTTGGGAGGCAGAGGTAGGAAGATCATAGTCAGAGAGTAGAGCTGAATAAAAAGCATGAGACTATCTGTAAAATAACTAAAGCAAAAAGAGACTGGGAGCCTGACTTAACTAGTCTAGCACCTGCTTAGTAAATGCAAGAACCTGACTTCAAACCCCAGTACCTTCAAAATAATAACCGGAATACTAATGCCATCCCTTCTGTGTGGTGGCAGAGCAAGGTGAGGAGAAACCCCAGACCCCATTCTCAGGAAAGCAATGTGTTGCAGCAGTAATGCCTGATCCCTATTGAGCTGTGCTGTTTTGAGAACAAGGCTCACCCTGTGGGTGGATATGGATGCTGTTCTGGACTGAATTGCAATTCCAAGAGTCACATGTGGAAGTCCCAGTTCCCAGTAGATGCCATTCAGATGGGAGCTGGCAGCTCACACCTGTAATCTGCGCTACTCAGGATCATGGTTTGAAACCATCCCAGGCCAAAAAGTCTGAGAGAATCTTATCTCAAATTAAGCATAAAAGCTAGATGTGCAAATATGGCTCAAGTGGTAGAGCACCAGCCTGAGCCAGAAAGCCAAGTTGAGAGCACAAGACCCTGAGCTCAAGCCCCAGTACTGGAACAGCAACAATAAAAAGGCCCCGGTCCACAGTATTTTCCTTCTGAAGTCTGAATGGGTGACGATGCATTCTAAGGCCCTTAAATTGTCCAAAGCTCCTGAAATGCATCCCTTTCTTGTAAGACTGTGCAAGCAGTTTGGAACAGAGTTGAGTTGACACATAATCGAATATATTTAAGGAAGTACAGAGTGATATTCCAATGCACTTACACATGACAGTAATTTTAATCAGAGAAATGTTAGTTCAAATACTTCAGCACAGATGAACTGGTGGGCAGCAGGTGGCTGTGTGAGAACACAGGAGAGCCATGCGTGAAGGCTCAGGAGACCCGACAGGCAGTCACTGAAAGGATCTGTTTCACAGAATAGATAGCAGCCTGGTGATCCTGAGCACAGTTCTGGTTGGAGTTGAGCTAGATACTAACCTGCTCTGTGCCTCCCTGTGGGCAGTCAGTGAGCCTTAGCCTTGAAAACACATAGTGTATGGGAAATTCTGACCATACAATAATCATAGCCATTATGAGATGGTATTCTATGGTGCCATCTACCCAAAACCCTTCTGGCCAAGGGTCTAGAAGCATTATTTCAAACAAGATTTACACGAGCTTTGGTTCATCCTTTATCCTAGCTACTTGGAAGGCAGAGAGATGAGGAAGATCACAATCTGTGACCAATCTAGGCAAAAAAAAAAAAAAACAGTTAACAAAACCCCATCTCAATCAATAAGTATGTATGGCAACACGCCCCTGTGATCCCAGCTACTTACAAAGCCATAGGTAGGAGGATCGCGGTCCTAGCTTACCCTGGATCAAAGCATGAGACCCTATTCTGACTCAAAAAAGTGCTGAGGGTGTGGCTCAAGTGGTAGAGTGCCTGCCTAGCAAACGCAAGGCCCTGAGTTCAAACTCCAGCCCTCACAGACACCCAGACACACACATACCAACACTGTTATACAACCCAAATGTCAGCAAGACAACCTAGTGCTCATGAGGCAACCCCAGGACCCCTGCTTCATTGAGCGATTCCTATAACTAGCATCCTGGGAAATCTGCTGCACAGACTGCATTCTGAACGTGACACCCAGTTTATGGGGATTGTGACCATTTATCAGATTGTGAAGAACTCTGACTAGAAATGACATTACCAACTACTGACATGTGCTGTGGAGCTGAGACACATGTTAAATATTCGCCGTGGTTCAAAATCCAGCTAAGCTGTCCCTGTTAAATATTCACAATGGTTCAAAATCCAGGTAAACTTTCCAGGGATTTTTTTTAATGCCACTTACCCGAGATCCCTTCTCAGGAAAACACAGGCAAACTGAGCAATCTCTTCCTCCACAAGGACCGACATATTTCTTGCCAGTCTGAAAAGTAAAGCAGTTTGTTAAATATACCAACCCACATCATTTAGATTAGCAACCAAGATATAAATTAGAATGAGCATTGAAGTTGTCTAGTTTATGGGAATTTCATAGAACCCTACTGCTTTTGGATCAATGAGAAACAAAGACACACACACACACACACACACACACACAAAACACAAGAGTAAGATAATGCTATCTTGGACTCAAACTCATGATCCTTCTGCCTCATTTTCCTGAGTGTTAGGGTCATAAATGTGCACTACCACAATTGGCTGCGAAGACTAACATTGATAGATAAAAACACAAAGCATCAGCCAGGGGTGGGTGGCTCACACCTATAATCCTAAATACTCAGGAGGCTGAGATCTGAGGACCATGGTTTGAAGCCAGCCTGGACAGATTCTTATTTCTAATCAGCCACCAAAAAATCAGATGTGGAGTTGTAGCTTCAGGTAGTAGAGCACTAGCCTGGAGCAAAAAGCTCAGGGACAGCGCTCAGGCCCTGAGTGTACACGTACACACATGCACACGTACACGCACACACACACACTGCGATGAAGCACTTACACAGTGGCATAAGGCGGCCAGATTACAAGAGAAAGGAGCTCCCAACAGTAAGGAAAATATCTTGGGGGAACTATCACTGGAGAAAAAAAAAATTCTTCCTTCAGAAGCCACTTTGGCCAGAAATGTCTATAGTTTCTGTCCATTTGGACTTAATTTACTAGATGGGAAGAGTCCTAGACAGTCACCCCAACCTTAGGCCAACAATTCATGCCCACTGAATCTTGTATAAAGGACACACTTGATATTGCTTCCAAATCTCCTTGCTCTGCCTCTCACGTCAGCTAGGATTTGTGTCCTCCATTGCATTTTCCTGAGGGCAATTCTCCACCCTTTTTGTGCTCAGGGTTAAAATAGTTCTTCCTATAATTTCCCAACACTCCAAGACGTTCTTATATTATCCTTCCCCTCCCTCCAAAAAAGCTAGGCTTGGCATTGAGCTCCATCATCACAGCTGAACAGAAAGGATACATACATAGGAGAGTCAACATGCAGGCCAGAATGGACAGAAAGCAAGACCCAACTGGGAAAAAAAAAACAAACACAATAGAAAAACAAAACCAAAAAGAGCTGGCAACATGGCTTAAGTGGTAGAGCACTTCAAAGGGCACAGCCCTAAGTTCCAACTCCAGCACTCCCTCCCAAAATGCATTTGGAGTTTCAGAAATATATGATTCTTGAGTTCTGACTGCCAGTACTATCTAGGAATACAGGAGTTCTTAATCTGGATAAAGAAAAAAATATTACTACTCAGGCCCAGATTGGGACAGGACACAAAAACTGAAGTCAGCCAGCTCAAGCACTTGGGTTCATTCAAGGTTGGGGTTGAGTTAATGTGTTCACTGAAATATCAAAATAACCAGAAAAAGAAACAGGAGTCCGTTGATTAGATGGCTTGATAACAAAGACAGGTTATTTATTTATTTTTTCTTATTTTTGCCAAGCATTGCAGAGATATTTGTAGTAGGATTCTATGTCAGGAAGGATTATTTACAAATAGACCCAATAAACACCCCAGTAAGCATTTATAGGGTATTTAATTTAAAGGTGTGTTTCAAATAATAAAAACATTTTAAGAGACAGGTGAATTCACCAAACAGCCCCACAACACACATACAAACACACCCCACACAAAACACAATGCACATCTACACAAACTATACCACCACAGAGATGCATACACAAAACATACCACTCACATCACATATACACACAACACACTAAATGCATACACCATACACATCATACACCACACACATCCCCACCATACTACATGCACAAAACATATATATATATATATATATATATAAACACACTACACACACACACACATACCCCACTATAATCATACATCACGTATCAATGTAATACCACGCACACACATACACACACACATACACACTCCACAGGAGCAAACTGGAGATCCAATGTCTACATGCACATACTTCTGGTGATTTGGGAGCTGTTTCTTTATTCCCCCATGTATTCCTCAGTACTGCAACATTTTCACATAAGCATCTACCTCAGAATCATGCTAAAGTAACTTTAAGAGCTTCCTTGTACAGCAAGTGCTGAAACTTGCTGACCACTCATGTTGATCAACATTCAAGTCACTTCCTACTTTAGGAACTGAATATGACCTGTATGCATTCACCTTTGTGCATGTCAGAATAAATATATATGAGACATTACAAAAAGACACATTCCTGTAGAGGTAAGAGCACTCGCAATCTGATGGATGATGTTGACTTGCCTTCCTCAGATACTGCACCCATGTGTGTTTTATCTTCCTTTCCTATCCAGTTATTAAAGACCCAGTCTTGGCATGGTGTTTCTAGACTATTCCACAGGCTGGGGGGGGGATGTCCAGGACAGAACATTCCTGATTCAGGAATTACATTCATTTCCAGGAACAAGGGGGGCAAAGGCAGTGACATTCAAAATTCAGTGCCTTTTATAGTAGAAAACAAAAGAATATAATACAAAAGTAAGCTTAGAAAATGAGAAGCAGTTGAGGTGAGTAGAAGAAAATGGAGGTATGTACATTCTGGTTGGTTTCCACTGGAGATTTTAGCAAGACCAGAGTTGAATGAAGGAATCACAGAGTCTTGAGTCAGTTAAAGGATGAATCATTGGCAGAGACAAGAACCCAGGGCCCCACACATGTGTTTGTTTCCAACTTATAGGAAAAAAAGAGTTTCAGTTTCTATTTTCATTTGCTTTTTTAAAAAGACCTAGGATTACTTGAGCCCCTGAGTCCCATGCCAGATGAATCCTCTTCAGCCTGAGTTACAGGCTGCCCTGACAAGGGTTCCCAGAAACTTCCCTGGCCATTTCGAATAACATAAAATGCTTTCCCGAGGAAGCAGGAGAAAGAGGGCCTATTACAAGATGTTCTGGGTTTATCTCTCCAGAACTGAAATATTTGACTTAGTATTCTATCTCGTGATTTCATCTTGAGATGGCCAAGCTGCCTCTTGTTTACCTCAAAAGGAAAAAAAAAGGTTTTAAAAGATTGCATCAGTTATAAAATAAAGAAAATTTCAATACCTAGGTAGCTCCATCAGCAGTTTTGGCACTGTGACTAAAGGAATCTTAGAATTTGTCTAGTCCAAATCCCTAATTAACAGCTGAGGAAACTGTTGTTGCAGAAGCCAACTTCTTCACACATGACAAAACCCATACATCCAATAGAGTGAATTCTCAGTAAGTAACCAGAGTGAATTCCTGTACTCACCCCGCACGTGTGTTGCACGGAAAACAGAATAAGTACAAGTGACCTAGAGAAAAAGCAAAATCCACATTAATTGACACTGTTTATTTTAATGTGAAACAAGCTTGCCAAAAATAAAAGTAAAATAAATAAAAAGATAAAGGAATTCCAGAAAGCTTCTTCTCCTTGCGGATAGGCTTCTACCACAGGCTGGTGGTTCATCTGTGCCAAGACCAGACAGAGGTTTGCCCTCCCTCTGGCTGCCTTCCTTTCCTCTCCTCATTTTAACCAATCAAGAAAGAGAGATTGCATGCCTGCCATTGTGCTGGAATCCTCTGAAGATAGGGTGGGGGTGGCCAGGGAGCAACCAGAGGGGAGAGAAAAGATGGAACTGTGCTCAGGGACGTGGCTGAGGCCAGGCTATCCTAGAGGTCACCAAATGGGAGCCACTGCAAGGGGCAGGGGGAGGGAGTTGTAACAGGAAACCTAGCTAGACTAGGAGAATGGAAAAACCAAAATGATTTGGGGCTCATTAGGGAAGAGTTAAGCAGTCCAGGGCCTTGTATGTGAAAGACAGAAATCTAACTGACTAACATCACTATTAGACATTTTAACAAAGGAGGAATACATTTTTTGGGGGGCCCGGTCGTGGGGCCTGAACTCTGGGCCTGGGTGCTGTCCCTCAGCTCTTCAGCTCAAGGCTAGTGCTCTACCACTTGAGCCACAGCGCCACTTCTGGCTTTTTTCTTTTTGCTTATGTGGTACTGAGGAATCGAACCCAGGGCCTCAGGCATGCAAGGCAAGCGCTCTACCACTGAGCCATCTTCCCAGCCCTAGGAATACACTTTTTTTTTAAAAGAGGGGGCCACCAAATATTCATGAATGTTTGCTGGCACTTATCAAAAGCCCCTCAATGTTTCAACCTTTAGTTTGATGTCTCACTTGTCCTTGAACAGTTGTGGTGGGGCTGGATTTCCCATCTACCCCCTGGCTGGTAGAATTGGGTTCTATATGGGTTCTGCAGACAATCTTTTCTCCACCAGAGCCCACTTTCTCTCATGATCTTTAAGTAGTGGTACAAGGCAACACTGCACTTTATAAGCACAACGCAATTCGACCAATGCCATCCCTCCCATTGTTCTCTCCCATCCCTCCCATCCCTCCCCATTTCTTCAGGTTACCCGTGGAATCCCCATTCTGCGTGAGCCTCCCTTCCCTGCCTTCTAGGTCTTCCTGCTGATCAGCTAACATCTGGCTAGGAAGACAGGCCAGTAGAGAGACTGGTCTGGCCGGGCTTTTCTGCCTTCTACCTAAGTCTTCATGTACCCAGCGTACTACTGGAATTGATGATTACAATCAAGGCGACATTTTTAACATAGTCACTAAGTAAATGAAGAGCAAGAATGGAGGTGTTAGATACAGGGGGAAAAATGATTTTAAATCAAGTTGACAATGAATTAACAATTTCTGTTGTGAAGTAAGTTCTTACTACCTTGGGCATTTGTAAGTAGTATTTATTGTATCCTATGGCCCCAGAGTGATTTGACTTCTGGGCATTATGAATCTATTATTGCCACCTCACTCTATCTTGGCTCGTTGATTGAATTTTCTACTTAATTAAATAGTTAAAATCATAATTTTACAAACCATCCAAAGTGGAGTGTTTCTCCCATATATTCTCTACAAAAAGAAGACTTGACTGCACTTCTGAGATGGGAAAGCACTTCCCTCCCCATCCCCCCCCACCACACCTTCTTTGCTTCACTGTCCACAAATGGATATTCATTGTCTTTGGAACTCTTCATGTGCTTGTTAGTGGCCTTGGCTCCCCACACCTTTTCAGTCCCATCTAACAGTCTCAACTCAGCTACCATTATTCATCGCCATCAGCACACCAGTTCAGAGTATCTGACACGGATCTCACTGGTGAAAGGCAGTGTCACAAAGGCCGGGTTCCTGAACACAGGGAGAATTCGATTCCTTGCTTTCCCCAGGTTCTAGAAACCACCTGTGGCCTATTCTGTCTTCAGATTTCAAATTACTACCTGAAGTTATATTCAGCTGGAAATGGCTGGTTGAGACTTTGTCTAGCTGCCTCTCTCTGGCCTCTCCTTCTGTAGTCACATCTCCTTTTCTCAGTTTTAAGGATCCTTGTCATCGCTGGACCAATCAAGTGATCAGCAACCACCCTTCATCTCAAGATCAGCTAACTGTCAATCTGAGCTCCATCAGGAAACTAAACCTCCCTTGTGGATGTCACAGAACGCAGTCACAGACTGGGCGGATTAGGATTCAGATACCTTTAGGGTGGATAAAGTTTCCATTGTACTCATGAAGTGCTTTGTCCTAACTTACCTAATTATAAGAAGGCTCTGGACACATAAAGCCTTTGCTATTCAAACCTGGTAAGAGGGTGAGAACACAGAGCCTTTAACTGTGCAGCTCCCCAGCTGAGCTCTGGGGGTACATCTCAGGGAGAATAGAGAGAATTGGCGTTTAGCAATAAGTCAGTCATAATGCTGGGTGTGTTGCGCATGCCCCTGGTTCTAAGCTACTCAGGAGCAGAGGTAGGAGGATCCTAATCCAAGGCTGGGCAAGGCAAAAGTGTGAGACCCTATTGACATACACACATACATACATACGTACATACATACATAGGCAAATAATTCAATCAATCAAAAGGACTGTGTTTATGGTTCAACTTGTAGAACACTTGCTTAGCAAGTGTGAGGCCTTAAAGATTATACACACAAAAAATCAAGTCATACAGAGTAGGCATAATCTGAAGCTTTATGCAGCAATTTGGCTTTTTGACATAATGTGTTTAGATCATTTATACCAACAGAATCAACAGTTTGAAGAAAATACTAGATTAAAGACACTAAGAGCTAGGTACTCTAGCTCACTCCTGTAATCCTAGCTACTCAGGAGGCTGAGATCTGAGGATCAAGGTTCAAAGTCAGCCCTAGCAGAAACATCCATGAGACTTTTATCTCTGATTAACCCCTCAGAAAACCAGAAGTGGCGCTGTGGCTCAAGTGGTAGAGTGCTTGCCTTGAGCTGAGGAGCTGAGGAGCTGAGGGACAGCGCCCAGGCCCAGAGTTCAAGACCCACAAATGACCAAAAAAAAACAAAAGAAAACAAAAACAACTCACCATGAATCTGTGAGCAAGGGCTTGGTCCATCTCAGAAAAAGCTTCATAATCACCAAGTGCCCAGGTGACCCCACAAATTAGACTCACAAATCCTCTCTCTTCTCTTCTCTTCTGTCCTCTCCTCTTCTCTTTTCAACCCTGTCATTGACAGGGGAAGGTGAGTCCTGGATTAAAGTGTGCAGATGGTAAGTAAAAACACGTCTGTCAAAATGCAGTACATTTACATGTTGAAAATAATTACTTTTATTATTCCCCTAGTAATAGAAATATTTCCTAAACAGGAATTCCTTTTTTCTGACATAACATAGTCTCCTTAATAACTGCTAAACAGAATATTAGCTTTTGTTTTCAGAAATAAAAATATTCTATACATGTCACAAATATATTTTTCACATATATTATACAAAATAGTCACTTCATGTTGCTGAATAGAATTTTCTTCTCTTTAATCTTTCCTCTTAAAATTCCAGTTGAAGAAATAAGGAAACAAACACTTTGAATAGAGAATTACCTATTTCACATATACGCAAATACATGTAGAACTGTTGTTACATAAAATGACATAACTGCTGAACAGAAAACATTTTGGTGGCTCCTCAAGAAATTAAACATAAAGGAGCTGGGAAGGTGGCTCAGTGGTAGAGTGCTTGCCTTGCATGCATGAGGCCCTGGGTTCGATTCCTCAGTACCACATAAGCAAAAAAGAAAAAAAGCCGGAAGTGGCACTGTGGCTCAAGTGGTAGAGCACTAGCCTTGAGCTGAAGAGCTGAGGGACAGCGCCCAGGCCCAGAGTTCAGGCCCCACGACTGGACTCTCCCCCCAAAAAGAAATTAAACATAAAGTTAAACATAAAGTTAACATATGGTCTAGCAATTCTGGTCTGAGACATACACTGATGAGAATTAAAAACCCATGTTTGATGCTAGGCACTGGTGGTTCATGCCTGCAACCCTAGCTACTTTGGTGGCTGAGATCTGAAATTGTGGTTTGAAACCAGCCCTGGCAAAAAAGTTTGTGAAAGTCTCATCTGCAATAAACTACTCAGACAAAAGTCAGAAGTGGCACTGTGGCTCAAATGTTGGATCACCGGCTTTGAGCAGAAAAAGCTAAGGGACAGTGCCGAGGTCCTGAGTTTAAGCCCAGGACTGGCACGCACACACACACACACGCACACACACACACACACACCATGTTTGCATATGTACATGGATATTCTTAACTGACAAAAAGTGGAAACAACCAAAATTCCATTGACCAATGAATGTTAAAGAAAATGTGTTATAGCCATTCAATGGAGTATTAATTGATCACAAAAATGAATGAAATCTTGATATATACTACAACATGAATGAATCCTGAAACATGCTAACTGAAAGGAGCACATTATAACATTTCATGTATATAAAATGTTGACAACAGGCAAATCTACAGAAATAGCATGCAGATTTGTGGGTGTCAGAGAAAAGGAGAGGGAGAAATTGGGAAGTATAAGGTTTTATTTTGGGGTGGTGAAATGTTGTGAAATTCGATAGTGGATATACTTAGAATGGTAAACTTCAAAAGAGTTTAAAAGTTGAACTTTATTTTGTAAGTTTTATCTCAATAAAAACTAAAATACTTTAAAACCTGACCCAAATAATTCTTTGCTTTGATCAAACATTACTTTGGCTCAAATCATTGAAGTATCTCATTTTGAACTGGCTTCTCTGAAGGCCTGTCCTTATGGGAACTGGTAGAGACGAGGAAACCAGTAGCATTCAATGTTAGAAGTTGTTTTTAAATTTCTGGATGAAAGCTGTGTAAATTAATTCAGCTCTGTATTTGTAGAAGGCTAGCTTTCAAATTAAGTGGTAGAACCACATTCCATGATAGAGTTCCAGAACTAAGCAGAAACAGAATCACTTTGAATACACAGATCCTTCCCATCCAACATTTGTAATCCTAAGTATCTCTTGCTCTAAAGTTAAATTCTAGAAGCAAGTTTGCATAAAATGAGTTATTGTTTCTGAAGGAAATGCATACTGATTGGAATCAAATTGTATGCAATATTTTAAACAAATTTAAAATATGGGATACTAGAGATTTCCCCAATTTAAAATATGGGATACTAGAGATTTCCCCATTTTAAAAACCAAGCATATAATGTGATTAATATATACACATATCCACCCATGCTGTGATAAAGGGTATACAGGAAACTACTTAATACACTGTGATGCCATTACCTTCCATGGAGAGATGGATGGATGCATAGATGAAGGATAAGGATGGATGGATGGACAGTGGGATGGATGGATGGATGGATGGGTGGATGGATGGATGGGTGGATGGATGGGTGGATGGATGGGCAATCTTCAGAAACCCAGATTCTGTTAGAGAGTGCCAGTGTACATAGTTAACCATCCCTATGACCAAAGGGATACTATCTTTTTTAAGTATTGATTTATTCTCAGTGCATTGTTTTGCCTAGACTGTATTAAATGCTCAAATTATATCTGTTGGATGAATTGACTGGTAGAAGATATTTTAGGGTGAATCAAGCATCAAGCAATCTATGCAATGGAAGCTACTTACAAATGGTACTGGTAGGGAGGGGGAAGGAAGAATTAGAGGGATGGAGGAAGCAACCACAATGAAAAGTAAAGAAGAGTAAAGAAGAGCCTGGCGCTGATTCTTGTAGGATCTTTTTCATACTGCTGCCCATCTCCAGTCACTTGGCTCTCATAGAACTTAGAAAGGAAAATATTGTTTCCATCCTACAATCCTAGTGGATCAGTTTTGGAAATACATGCGAAGTCACAGGGCTACAAAGGAACAGAATCAGAGGTTTCCTTTAGTGCATGTTTCATCTCGTTCGAGACTCTGCCTTGGCAGACTTCAGATTTTTCTGCCCTTTTCCTCCATAAGAAGTCTGAAACTCTGAACCTCACCCCTCTTGTTTTTCCTTGAGTTAACATTTCTATGCTTTCATTTCTCTTTAAATAGTTTCTAGGGCTAAAGATGCGGCTCAGTGGTAGAAAACTTGCCTAGGATGAACAAGGGCCCAGATTCGATCCCCAGCACTGCTTACTCCATGTATTTACAAAGGAGTCAAGAGAGGTTTTGACTCTTTCTCCACCTGCAATGTAGCTACTAGGTCACAGCTAGGCAGAGCCATAACTTTGCTATTAGCCTGCCACTGTAAATAGTAATGGGCATGAGGCTCTGCAAGTCACAAAATGAGGTCATGAATGTTGTCCACGGCCACCAGTGTTACACTGAATGTAAAAGACTCTATGGAGAGTGCAAATAGTACAATTCTTTAGAAAAGACTAAGTCAAAGCCCAACAACATAAGTACCAGGAAATGAGTATTTGCAAGAGGAAAGGGGAAGACCAAGGGGACAGGGGTAGAAGGAATGGGGAAGAAGGTAAAATGCAGGCAAGATTTCATTGTATAGACCACAGGCTTGAGAAATGGAAGGAAAGGGGGTGGGTGGAAGAGGGGTAAAGATGGTGAAGTGGTGACATGGGTCAAGAGGCATTGCACACATAAAGTGCTTTGTTAAATGGCAGAAATTCAGCATATAATCTAAAATTAAGATGAGTAAGGGAAGGGGTGTGTTGGGAGCGGTGGGTGAGAATGTTGGAAGGGTGACAATGATCAAGATGCACTGTATTCATAAACTGCTTCAGCAAATGGAAACTCCTTTGTACAACTAAAGATTTTTTTTTAATCAAAAAGTCAGTAGGAAAAGGGCAGATACCAAAAAGACAAGAGTAGGGAGAATAGAACAATATGAATTAAATAGAAATACTAATGCATCAGAGAAATGTTTGGGATTTGATAAACAAGTTTCACCTAATTTTTCATGCAGGTAAACCACTTTAAGAAGCAACACTATAGCTGGGCGCTGGTGGCTCATGCCTGTAACCCTAGCAACTCAGGAGGCTGAGATCTGAGGATCACGGTTCAAAGCCAGCCCGGTCAAGAAAGTCCATGAGACTCTTATCTCCAATAAACCACCAGAAAACTGGAAGTGGTGCTGTGGCTCAAATGGTAGAGTGCTAGGGACAGAGCCCAGGCCCAGAGTTCAAGCCCCATGAGCAACAAAAAAAAAGAAAAAGGAAGCAACACTAGGTATTTTAATGATATCATTTAACTTTATATATTTTTTCAAAAATCTGTCTTGAATCAAAACAAAAGACATCATATATTGACATATATTAGCATTGTATTTTAATACTGGAATTATAGACTAAGAAAACATTTCTTGTCAATGTATCTATAATCAATAAAACTTAGCTTAAATTGAAAGCACCAAAGTGTTTGCCTCAGTCAAGCTTTTAATAGCATTTATGACTCATATAATTATATATTATTAACACATATAAATTATGACATAACATATTATATATAATATACAATATAATAGAACATATAATAATCTATAACATACAATATATTATATTCTGTGTTAATATAGAACTTATATATATCATATATGCTTATATACATATATATGCGTATATATTATATGTATTGTATGTATGTATATGTATTATATAAATATATCATATTCACATATGTGCATGTAATACAGACAGTACATATATTATATACAACACATATAATACACATATGTCTATATAATACATATATATATATATAATTACTCAGAAAAACCCCCTCTGACCTACCTTCTTGTAAATTAATGACTGACTTCACATCGGATTGGATGAGACACTGTAATTCCCTTTGAGCCTAACACTAGTACAAAAAGAAATAGTAATAACAACCCAAAGTGCTATGCCACTAACACCTGGAACCGCCACCTCTGGAGGGCCGTCTATGTGGGAGACATCCCAGGTTGGCTAAGAACGGCTTTATTCGTCTGCCGTCATTTCCACAAAGGGAGAATTCCCATTGGCTGCGTCAGACCCTCACCTTCAACCCAGCTGTTTGGGGACATGGCCACAGGTTGGACTAACTGATCACCTCTCCCTCCAGCCACACACAAAGAATCAAGAGAAACCACCGAGGCAAAGGCAACCCAATACGGAATCCAGGAAGGCTTCAGGACTCCTGGCAGCAGCCCAGGTACTCTGGGCTGGGCTGGTACAAAGAGAGACTGAGCAAGGCCCCTGCGAGGCTAGAGCTGGGACTTGGAGAAGAGAGGGGGATG